CGTATTAAACGCGTATTAAAGAAAGGCGTATTAAGAAGCGTATTAAACCTTCTTAATACGTTCTTGATCATTGTTATAGACACATATTAAGGGCAAGGCATGCTATGATATCGTGTAGGTGACATCCTGTAGGTATCGCGTAGGTGTGCCAATGCCAACATATTACTTGTAGACATAGTGATCGCAGAATACTTTCTTCTTTTTTCTAATAACGTAGTGGGTTGCAACATGCTTAATGTAATTAACATAACATAACGCAACATCATATCATAACATATTATATATTATATTATTATTATTATAACATCAGTAGACAATTACGGTGAGTAAATGAATGCACGGCGAATATATATATATATATAACCTTAACATATTGCGACCATAATACATCCATGCGTATAAAAGGGGTTATATGAATACACAGTACCACAGCATAGGTAGAATATGTAGAATAGTAAATGACATGGTAATGCCTGATGGCATAATAATGGTGAATGACAATGTTTTTCGTTACGGACAATCGTGACGTAATGGCGAGGTTCATAGATAGATGTTCGTAGAAATGATGCATGATGTTTGTTAAAGCATAATACATCGCAGTGTTGAATAGATTTTTACAAACACCATTAATGTGTTTTTTGTAGACAGAGTGAACGTGCGCGTGTGCTTTAGTGAATTGTGAAAGTATTCGCTGCATTGTAATTTAATGTGAAGATAATGTACGAGTAAAGGATGAATAACATTGTATTATATTTAGTAAATGGCACCGGGAAACATTATCGTGAAATTTATAGCTATAAAAATGTTGAAGGTTATTGCAGCAGACATTGTGAAAGACTATGCTGAATACATCGCATGCAGCAACTATTAGTAAAATACACGTACACAAATCTTACGTTGAAAGATCAGCAATAAACGCTGCTAATGCATGCTATAATTAAACACGACAGACCTAAACATGTCACGAACGTACCAACACAATGCGTAGTTTCGTCAATTAGGTATATAGCCACCGAGCGATAATGATTTTAATTGCAATGAATTCCCTGACCCCAATAATGTTGGTTTAGTTACTGAAATCGTGTTTTTATGTTAAATATTAGCTGAAAAATGAAGGATAATGGATTTTAATGGCGGCCATTTTGAAATACAAGATGGCGCCCAGATACGATGCCGATGGAAATGGGCACCCGATCTCATGTGAGTGTACATAACATCTTAAACTACCTGTGTGCCAATTAACATACTTTTGTCAAAAAGCGCACCTCGGTATTAAATGCAGATCGATTGGAAGAAGCGTGGCTGATTTTAGTATGTGCGGTTCCCCTGCAGGGGGCGCCGTTAGTCCTGGAGACTGGTCGTGGCTGAAGGCCATGACGTCATAAACGACCATCAACGGCTGCAGACGTATATATCGACCGACGAAGCGCCTCTTTAGCGTGTAAACACACCAAGAGTGCGAAGTAACGCTTCAATGCGACGTCATCTGATGAAATTTGTCATCTTCGTTTTAACGTCAGTACGAGGTATTGCGCGCTGAGCTCGACGTTTCGACGTGCTTGTGTGTGTTCTTAGTATACATATATATAGGAGACCAATATTGACCGAACACTTCGTAGAGTACCCATGCACGCACGCACCCACGCGCGCACGCACGCACCCACGCACGCACCCAGGCACGCACCCACGGGCGCACGCACGCACCCACGCACGCAACCATGCGCGGACGCGCGCACGCACGCACCCACGCACGCACCCACGCACGCACCGACACACGCACCCACGCACGCACCCACGCACGCGCCCACGCGCGCGCGCACGCACCCACACACGCCCGCGCCTTATTCGCATGGATATTATCAACTAAACGCGATGACAGCTAGCATATTTCGCTGCAGCTGCTACTGCTGCTACTGCTACTGCTGATGCTGCTGCTGCTGCTGCTGCTACTGCTGCTGCTGCTGCTGCTGCTGCTGCTGCGATCTCACTCAGAGCTTAAACAGGCCGATAACCAGCTCGGCTTTCGTGGTGGGCCGTCGTCGTCGTCGTCGTTGTCATCGCCGTCGTCGTCGCCGTCGTCGTCGCCGTCGTCGCCGCCGTCGTCGCCGTCGTCGCCGTCGTCGCCGTCGTCGTCAATGCCGTCGTTATCGTCGTCGTTGTCGACGTCGCCGTGGCGGTTAACTGACGGCGCCCGCAATCAGCTATTACCATTAAAGCGCTCGACTCGGGGTAGCGCTAAGATTTATTGCTTTCACACGCGACGCTGGGCATACGGAGTCTTAATGGGCTATTCTTCGGTCGGCTGCCGTGTTGCTGCTGCGAGATGTTGGGCGGAGAAAACACGCGCACGGGGAGGAGGAGAAGGAGATGGAGGAAGAGGAGGAGGAGGAGGAGGAAGAGGAGGAGGAGGTGAAAGAGGAGGAGGAGGATTGTGTGCGGCATGGTTGAGGAAAATGCTAATATCCAATAAAAGAACCAATGTATAACACAACAAGAAAGTAACCCCTCCTTTTCAAAATATACGCAATTCGTTAAACTACAGTAATATGACTTCTACGCCGTCAATGTCTTCGAGGCTAATATAGTCCTCACTCCTGTCGGGGTAGGAAACGCGATATTTATGTATGTCGTCGTTGAAGTATTCAAGAGTGCCTTCAAACCACCCATTTTCGTACTGAACTTTCACCCTACGGCCGCAAAATTCAACGTCATAGAATCGGTCATCCTCATTATCAATTCACTCGTCGCCGTCGTCATCGAGTGACAATGTGTGTCTGATGATCGAGCCTCAGCATTATTCTTAAAAAATTCTTAAAATTTGAGAAATCAAGCCTCGATGATTCTTATAAAAAGAATTCTTATAAAAAAAAAAGTGTGTATACACCCAGGCAACCTCTGATATACAGACAACTACGGACATAACGTATATCGGGTCTATCACACTCCTCGACGCATGAAAAGCTATTGAATACGTATATCTAAATGAAAAAAAAAGTTGAATGGCTGGCTCGATATATCCGCTAACGACACAGGTTGTATACTGACAGTTGATCACCTGAGAGCTCGAACAAACCTCATATATACACGTTATAATGGTACCGAATGTCTTCACATTACTGCTAACCATGCAGCCTATTAGTGCTTGCTAGCACACCGCTGCTGGGCTAATATTATAATATAGTAATTATTCAATAAATATATTTATGTCATAATAAATGTCATAAATATTTAATAATATATTGTCGGAATAATATATGGTTGAATTAGAAATATATGATAATGTAAGCCATATAATTAATGGAAATGTGCGTGCGGGTGTGTGACTAAGTATTGAATTTAAATATATATTATTCTTGAATATTTATATATATAAAAATATATATAAATATATATATATATATGATATAATCATCATTATACATGGTTCACGTTTTTTTAAAGTTTGGTGTAATTATTGCGAACGAACCACCCAAAGGTATACGCTATAGTTCTGCATCGCTGGACGAAGTGAAACAATAGACCATTCGTCTAAGCCTCACCTTCACGAGATCACCGTTTAGTCGTGTGTCAGTTAAACAAAAAATGGAAAGCGAAGATTTAAAAACAACAGATTAACTACTCAAAGTATAACAATATCAGTTAAAGTAGTCGATGTAACTCTTCCTCATCCGTCTTTCTTTTGCTCGCTTTCGCTTGGTAGCTTAATGGCTTTCTTTTTCTTCTTGTGCCTCACTTTGTCATAATCTGACAGACTGTCCGATGCGAAGCGCTCATGAATGACAAACAGCGGAATAAATGAATCCGCATGTATTTGAGAATAAATGTGTATTTGTCATGTGTGATTCGGCAGTATTCATAAACGCATACATCACACGCACAATTTCATCACGTTAAACTTCAATAGAATCAAATTCTCGTAAAAATCAATCATTTGGAATGCGAAATCGAATTCAAACTCAATGCCAAAGCCACGTATTTGAAGGTTGGTCTCAAAATCAACTAAAGCAATAGATCGAATACATTGGTTTGAGAAGCAAGATAATTATTCTATTATATAATCTGTTATAAACCATCGCTCGCTCTGCATTCGTAGTACGTACGATGGGAGCTTCCATCTTAAAATATTAAGACACTTGAACGTACGCGCCATCTCGTGGCAACTTTCATAACGATCCCAACGAACATTCCTTTGAGAAGGTTCCTGATACCATCCCTGTGCCTTCCACTGTTTCAGCGTGCATGTGAACACATTTGGGACTAACAGGGTTTACTAGAATCCCACCACTCCACCACAGAGTCACCGCAGTAGACGTTAGATGAGCGCTGTCGCTCCGCGGCACTTGTTTAGCATTATATTTTATTGAAACGCTCCAAGTGCCTGTGGTCATTCTGCTATGCATCATGTGATTGAGTAAGAATTAGCTAGAATGCAGTGTTTCCCCTGTACTGGCCAAAACGGTCTGTTAGGTGGTAAATATTTTTGGGTGTTTGTGCGCGTTTCGAGGTTCTAGCAAAGTGAGCACCGGTCCGCAGGTGGGAAATTTTGAAAAAATAGTGCAATTTGGTGCATTCTAAGCTGGTTTGGTACATTATAAGCACTGTTCTATTAAAGAATTAACAATGATTTTCGTCAGCGAGGCAGTGTTTTGGACAAATTTCTGTGTGGCAGCTGAGAGTTTGAGCAAAGCGGCCCGCCTTGCTCGTGTCAATGCAGGGGAAACACTGGAATGTGTCTAGCTGACTTAGCACAACTGTTGATTACTTTCTTGGGTTGAAACGTGTTGGCATTGTTAGTATGCATACACCAGTACACTGATACAGGTATACGATATCACAATCTGGTGCTTATCGCTTGCTGTTTTTTTTTACCAACAGACACCAAATAATCAGTTGGCAGTTTTGCATGACCCACCTGGACACGTACAGAGCAGTAGTGTGAATGCACCTTATAGGAGCGTACACGGCCCATGACGTCTCAGCTGCAGGCCATTCCTGATGACTTGGACATATTTATAGCCGTGTTAATTGCATTTCAGCCTGCTTCTTCAAACTGGATTTTTAGACAAGAATACAAGACACTAACACAGGTAGCAGAAGCAAGAATAGATGGCTTAATTGTCTTTGTTAGCTGCACTTTCTCTATCTGCGTGTTGCATTTTCTTCAACCAAGAATCGGTGAAGGAAAGCTTTAAACAGTCAAGGCTCGAAATGAACTTGCTTTGTAATGTAAAGTCTCAAATAGCAAGTTACACTTTGCGGCGTATATAGATGTAGAATGTAGCAATTTGAAAATAGTCTGACTGCATAATAGCCCAAGCAATGTATATAATATATAGTGTACTGCAGCTAAAAAATTATAGCTACAATAATGGCTGCTAAACTGACCCTCAGATTATATAGGTCATAAGGTGATTTTTAGAGACATTTTCTGAGAAAAATAGGTCCCTATATAACTATAATCTGCAAAATAAGGTGCATTAGAAGTTGGCAAGTACTGTGAAAAGTAAACAGTTAGCAATCGAATCGGCACAACTGAGTAGTATACACATATATATAGATAGTGGTTGTGAAAGCATTTTTTCGAGCCTTGATTCATCTTAAAGCAACATTCTTATTTGCAGTCATTTACAGGCATTCATGTATCGTCAGTGAATCCATCTACCAATAAGTTACCTTAAGTATATACCACTGCAGAATATGTACAGAAACTAGTATCTCGTTCCACCACGATGCATGCGTAATCTTTTAAGTTGCATATATATCAGGAGTTAATAAATGAGACAAATTTGTAATGAGAAAAATTTGTTTCATTAACTCCTGATATATATTCCCTAACCCTAACCATATCAGATAGTTACCAGGGTACGTTCCGGTATACCGGACCGTACCCAGGGTACGTTCCGGCAGTACCCTGGGGGACATAGACCCTATGAACGTCAGTTGGGTGTTTGTATTGGCCAATGCTATTCACAGAACTGTTGCGTACGTATGACTGATGTATTCACTTTGGTCAAACTACTGTAATAGTTGGCTTGGGGAGATAGATCTAACTGTTTTCCACAATGGGAATTTTATTGTTATGAATGAGAGAACTGAAAGTTTTCCACGTTTTTTCCCATGAATTATAGAGAAAACATGTGATAGCAACTATATATGAGCTAGCATTGATATACTTGTACATGAAATATATGTGATGGTTTTTCAAATAGACCTAATAGACACACAGGTAACCATGATCCTTACTTTGTCTGTATTCCTACAGGTACTGTTAAAAATAGTGAATCGTGCGTCTTTTTGTTTACTGATCTCGTGTTTTGACACGTGCGTGTATATATATGATTTATAATACGTGCCAGCGTGATACGTGTTCATGATAATGGCTGTGTTTTATCAAGACAAGCTCTTATACAGATATGATAATTATGAATGGGGTAGGTTATCTCAGTGTGCGGCGTGCACTCCCACACGCTCATCACGATTCATTTGCGGATCTATCTAGAATAGATGTAAAGAAGTCGCGATCGTTCCATATTATCAGGAGTGAATAATAATAGCTCTATTAGTGCACATAACGTCAGATGATATAACGTGTCAGTGTGCAGCAGCTAGCATGCGGCAGCCAGCGTGTGTTGCAGATGAGCATTTGCACGGCATTTACAGGAAATTGTCGGCAATAATAGGTGAAAGAGAGTAGAGAAACATTAAGACTTTGGTAGTAAATAGATTTCGTATTTTTAGCTCATCTGACGTAGTCAGATGCAGCTTGTAGAATCGCATGATCGTCCGGCCGTCCGTCCGTGCGTCAACAGTTGCGCACAAATCTTAACCGCTCGACGTACGGTCACGATATTCGGGACGTCAGGGGGTAATCTGAAAACGAGTTGGGATGTCGAAGCTGGGGGTCAAAGGTCAAAGGTCAAGAGGTGTAAAAGAAGGGGGAACATTCCTTCCTTAACTTAAGGTATAGGGAGGAAATGCAGAATGGCGGCACGAATCTAAACGGCTCGACCTAGGCTCGTGATAGTCGGTGTATAGCATCATGGTAGGAAAAGCCATCACTGTGCCGAAATTGGAGGTCACAGGTTACACACACACACACACACACACACACACACACACACACACACACACACACATATACACACGCACACACACACTTAGTAGGTGTCTAGTAGGATGCACGCACATTTAGCGTGCACGTCACGGTTGAACATTAGGTGACGTTTTTTTTCTCTCCTCTAAGAGCGCCACCAGCATTTTAGTTCATTCAAATGTATGGCCAGTTTCACGCGAAGCTCTTAGTTCGTCCGGCCACAAAATAAACAGATATAGTACTGAAAGGTCATCTTTTATCATCGATAGCAAACTTTTTCATTATTAACTTGTTACTCTATCAAATATGGATTGGGTATTTCGGCAGTGTAACTACATGTAACGTGCCCATTAAACAAGGTTACAGAGGCCACTATAACGTAGTGTGACCTCATTCTATCCTTTGGCCTGCCTCTGAAATGTAGGACTTTTTAAACAAAAATGTCCGTGTTTCATTGCGATAAATTCACTAAATTATTTCTTTTCATATGCATTTTATTTCGTGCAGTGGCTGAAAGCTTGGTCAGTATGCAGAGAATAAATTAATAACCAATAAGTTAATTGCTGAAGAAAATGCAAGAAGATTTGCACTACAATCTATTAATAAATTCATGAAATGCACTTAAGCAAATGTATTTTACTTTAAAAACAGTGTTAGCGATGATCGATAATCAATTATCATAAACTTACATAAATCTTAATACTTATAACGGAGGTGGCACATATTTGTAGAATGAAGCCATACATGGTCAGATAATTGACAATGACGTATGTGGTTGCGTTTATGTCTGGCTATTATTGTATGCTCTTATCCCATCTTTCTTGTTTATTTCCCCTCTCTCTCTCTGCCTCTTCCCTCTGTCAATCTCTCACGCTCTCTATCTCTCTCTCTCTCCCTCCCTCTCTCCCCTCTCCCTCTCTCACTCTCTCCCTCTCTTGCTCTCTCTCCATCTCCCTTTCTCTCCATCGCCTTCTTTCCCTCTCTCCTCTCTCTCCATCATCCTCTCTCGATCTATCCCTCTCACTCCTTCTCTCTCTCTTTACTTCTCTCCCTCTTTCTCCTTCTCCCCCCTCTCTCCCTCTCTCCATACCTCGATCACTCACGCTCTCCATCTCTCTCTCGCTCTCTCACCCTTTCCCTCTCACTCTCGCGCTCTCTCTCTCCCCTCTCTATTTACCTCTCTCCAACTTTCTCCCTCTCCCCCTCCCTCTCCCTATCTCCCTATCTCTTTCCCTCGCCCTCTCTCCTCTCTCTCTTTTTATCTTTCTCAATCTCCCCCTCTCTCTCTCTTTCTATCGCTCCCTCTCTCTATTCGCATTTATCCGTTTTTTTCCCTCCCTCTCTATCTCTCTCTCTCTCTCTCTGTCTCTCTCTCTCTCTTTCTCTCTCTCTCTCTCTCTCTGCTCTGACTCTCTCTGACTCTTCTCTCTCTCTCTCTCTCTCTCTCTCTCTCTCTCTCTCTTTCTCCATATGTACACGTACGTGTGTGTGTCTGCGTGTGCGTATGTGGGTGTATGTGGCACGAACGTATGCGCGAGCGTGCGTGTATACGTGCGTGCGTGCGTGCGTGTGCGTGTTTGCGCGCGCGCGTGTGTGTGTGTGTGTTTACGCACGTACGTGTGTGCGTATACGTGTGCGTGCACTGGTGAGTGTTTACCTGCGCGCGTGCGTATAGGTGAGAGGTGCCATTAAGCACACTCTCGTTGTTGACACCGTAAACACAGTTTCGTCTCGTTGTCAAGGTTATATACATATAATTATGTATATATATGTATAATCGTCTATCATTTGATTGAATTATAAAGACAATTCAAATGCGATTCTGTCATGTATGACAGGTATCTCAAATTTTTATTTTTTTTACGGATGAAATTCGTGGTCGTAACGACTTTAATAAGATTTTATTCAAAAAAATGAAAGATTTATTGCATGCAATAACATTAAAATACATTGTCATTCATGCATGCGAATATATCATTCTCGTGCGAACTGGTTAATAAAATGTCCATGAAACATTAATGAAAATATCACATAACTTATAGTGATCGCTTGCGACAGCGGACCCAGCGACAGTGATCGTATAGAACTGCATGAGAAACTATGCGAAACAAATTGCATAACTGCAAAATCGAATGATTAGATCTACATGTGGGGGGGGGCAGTGTAGCTGCAGTTAGTGCGGTCAACTCTCTCCCAATACCAAGCGTTTAGTTTAGTTTTCTGTGAAGTTCTGCTTACAGGGGGAGGATCCTATTCCAGGCATATCTTAGATGTCTCATATTATATGGTGTTGGATACTTAAGCTTAGTCATGTCAGTGTGGGGGGTGTAGCTGCAGTTACTACGGTCAACTCTCTCCCAATACCGACCATTCAGTTCAGTTTTCTGTGAAGTTTGGTTTATAGTAGGACTCTTCCTTATTCCATGCATATTTTAAATGTATCAGATGGGGATGGTGTTGGGACCTAAAAAATCGTCTGGTTTAACTAACACGAGCTTCGGTTTTGAGGGCGCTTGGAATTTTGAGAGTCGACTGCATGTCTATTGGAAACTAGCCAGCAGTCGGAAACTGGACTTCGTTCATCTATTATATATAAGAGGAGAGAGTTGCTACAGATCACTTGTAGCCATTAGATATTTGATGATATAATTTACCGATGACGTAGTTAGAGCGGTCCGACTTCGTGCACGCAAGTCATCTTCGTACATTAACGCTGAGATGGGAGATGAGGTCTATAGATCTATAGCGGCAGCGGTTATGTGACAGGCGTGCTAAAATGTAAAGCAAGAATCAAAGCGAGCGAATTGCAAGAAAATTCGTTTACGCCATGATGCGCTGCTGTTATATATATGTATTATGACTGCTGTGGATGTGAAACTATAGCTCTTTGACAAGACTCTGCTTCTTGGCTTATGCTGCTGATCAAGTCACTATCGCCAAATATATCGGGTGATACTTCATTAGGAGTGTTCCCAACTTTAATATCATTAATGG